ATTAAGCGCTTCTTTTCTTCATAATTGAGATAGACTATCTCGACATATCAAATATATGAAGAGGAGGGAACTTCTTGAGTCCTGGTCTGGATACTCTTGGCCGTGTGAGATTTACATTTGGAACATTATTTTCGAGGTCCATCAGAAGATCATAAGTGGCTGGAAAAACTGGATTCAGTTCTTATGTTTCCTTGTTGTCTCAGAACTCTTGCTTTTCACGTTTTTCTTTCTCGTAGCAGGTGCAATGTTGTTGTTAATGAAGTTTACCAAATTACGAGGTTAGCGGGTTGGGCCGTTGTTAAGCGTGACTCCAGCTCTAAGTCTCATCCCAGTGTAGCCTTTAATATGGCGAATTTGTATTTGGTTCTCAGTTTTAATAATAATTAAGTTATCTTTTGCCAAAAAATAATCAAGATCACTTGATTAATTGATTGGCTATCCTAGCAATTGGAAAGGACTAAAGGGTCGACATTTTGCTCTTGGTTTTAAACCTTCACAAAAATTCTCAAGATCACTTAGCCAATGCTTCTGATCAATCCATCCCTACTGACATGGATTTCTGTGATGCTGAGCTTTATAACAAGCTTTTACAATTCATGAAAATTCAAAGTAATCAGCCAGTTACTGCCAATGTTGCCATGACCGTCACTGCTAATGATCAATCTACTTCAACCAATGACGAAGATTTCCAAGGTCACGTGATCAATCTACTTCAACCAATGACATGGATTCCACTTTTGGTCACGTGACTATTATAACATTTCCATATTTAGTCCTTTACTTTCAGGTTGTCCACATTTAGTCCGTGACCATTATCCCCTCACCATCCCTCGTCCTTCCGGCCAAAATTTCGGCAAATTTAATGCAGATTTTATGTATGAAAAACCAAATTTAATGCAAAGAGTGATATGAAAAACCCAACCTTATATAAAATTTAATTCAAAGACCGATTTTGAGGCTGATAAGTGGACTAAATTTGCCGGAATTTTGGCCAGAAGGACGAGGGGTGGTGATGGGATAATGGTCACGGACTAAATGTGGACAATCTGAAAGTAAAAGACTAAATGTGGAAGTGGTATAATAGTCATGTGACCAAAAGTGGAATTTTTTCTTCTGTTTTTAAAGTAATTAAAAAAATCTTATAATTGGATTCTTGACGTGTGGCTTATGATCACATGATATGCAATGCTTGCTTTTTTACTTCTACACCTAAGCCCATATTTATTAACATTCAATTACCTACTGGTTATTACATTCAATTACTCATTCAGTGATCAAATTACTTTACTTTACACAATGTTTTTTATGTTCCTAATTTTACTTTTAATCTGATTTCTATATCTAGTCTAGCCTTGCATGAACATATTTCTATGTATTTTACTTCCAATCATGCTACTTTGCAAGACCTTCATACCAACAAAATCATTGACTTTGTTGAACTTCACAATGGCTTATATCATTACAATCCGGCGGGCAGCATCTTTTTTAGATCTCAAAATTCAATCTGTTGTTAATTCTGTTAATATTCATCATCTTAGCTCAAGCATTTAGCATTTTAGACTAGGACACTTTCCTTCAATAAACAAAAAACCTGTTTGTACCCACTTTTGTACCCACTTTTGTACCCATCTCCTATTTTGCATGTGCACATAGGCAATTTGTTAAGAAGAAGACAACATTTTGTCTGTGTTTGTCCTATGTACACAAACAAAATAAGGGGTTGGTATAAATGTGTGTACAAAAGTGGGTACAACAAGAAGGACTCTTCAATAAAATCAAACTTCTACCAGATTGTAATATTCAGACTACTTAAACTCATACTACTGCTTGTGATGTTTGTCATTTTGCCAAACAAAAACGTTTACCTTTCTCACACAGTGAATCTTATGCTCAATCTTCTTTTGATGTTTGTGGGCCTTACAAAGTCCCATCTTATTGTGGTTTCAAAGTTTTCCTCACAATTGTTGATGACCATACTAGTGTACTTGGGGTTATATGATGAAAACCAAATCTAAAGTAAGATTTCATATGCTCAATTTGTATAAAATGATAGAAACTCAATTTCATAAGAAAACAAAATGTATTAGAATCGATAATGGTTCTGAGTTTATGTTTACAAATTTTTATCATTCATATGGTATGATTCATCAATTGAATGACTACTCTATATCATTCAAATTTTTATCATTCTCCTAACCCGTCGAACTACTACTCTATATTACTACAACATTTTATTATTACACAATACTCGGAAGCTAAGGTTGAAGAAATAATAAAATGGTCTCAAATTTATACTATTGTATTAAATAACTTCACACACTTATTCAATTGAATCAAGCTTGAATTATTTTTACAATTCTAAAAACATTTGCTACCCCCACTTTTCATAAAATAAAAAAAAATAACGAAAATACTACAGCAGTCTCAATGAAAAATGTATTTACTATTAAATAGTTTATCAAAAAGGGATTAAATAATCTCAAAGTCAAAATATATACGTAGTACTAGCGTATATTACTACCTTATTTATTCTACTAGGAATTTTTACTCTTTAAACTGCAGCCGTTTAAAAGTTTATCAAAAACCTCCTCTGTCATGATAGTGATATACTAACATATGCGGCCACTTAAAATCTTAAATGATATACTCTCAGCCTCCCATAAAAATTGGTCAAAGTGCACATGAAATAAAAATGTAAAAATTATTTGATTGAGATTTGTACAAACAAACTAGAAGTAGCATTAATCACAAATTTATTACTTTCAAAGAAATAATTAACAAAAAAATTAGAAGGCTGAGTAAGAAAATTTGGTCAAAATTATGGAATTTGGGAATTGGGAAGTATGTAGTACTAAACTTGACATTTTACTCTCATTTAAAAAAAATGTACACTTTTCCTCTTTTTAAGTGTACTAGAATTTCACCGTGTGATGCACGAGACATAGATTAAGTAGTAGCTATATCATATTATTTGTTAACATTATTAGTTAATATGTAAATGAATGTAGCGAGTATACACAAACAAAATTATAATTAAGGAAAACATAGTTACAACTTATAATTAATTACTACAAAGTATGCTTTGAAATAAAAAGAAATAAATAGATATTGCAATAAGGTTTTCACGACCTACACTTTTAGAAACGCTCCCTTGTAAACAATCTTGGTAGTATGGTCGATTTGTTTGTCATCTTCATCACAAATCAATATTTACAAACTATTACGATTTGTTACTTTTGATACTGGAATATAAAGTTGGCCATGCTAAACACTGGTTTTTAATAAGACTTGAAATAGTAAAAAGAACATTTATTTAAATAGGTATAAACATTAAAATTATAAAAGTATTAAAGTAAGAAGTACCGTTTGTATAGTCATTGAAAATGTTTAGATGAGGCCATTGATTTTTTCAACATTTTGATCAACATTTTATGTCCAAAAATGTAATAAATAGAAAAATAGGTTTTAATGACATTATTCGAATTTAATATACACAAAGTGCCTAATTTATTATTATAAATGAAATAAATTTACTAAACTAATAATTTTACTAATCTAATATTTTGCTAAAAAAGAAGTTAATTGATAAATTTTTCAAAAAAAAGAGACGATTCTAAACCTTGTAAAATCAATGTGAATCAATTTTAAGATTTGTTTAGTGCTATGCTTTTAAAACTCTGCACCGAACAACATACGAAATGATGCAATAATTTTTTACGGAGTAATTGGGCAAAGTTGTGTTCAAAAATAAACTTTTGATTCCGAGGCCGTTTGACAACCCTCATTTTCGGCTTATCAGGCTTATCATCCAACTTTTTTACCAAACACGTAAATTTTGCTTTCACGCGCTGAATTGTGTAATAAGCCGAAAAAGTAATGTTGGAGTTACTTTTCTGACTGTATTGGCTGAAGTTACTGTAGATGACCATTTTAACTATTTTTACATATAATTTTTTCTTTATTCTATTAATAAAATATATTTTAAAAATAATTTTTTCTTGTATCAACAGAATCAGCCAATGCAACTACTTCAGCCAGAACTTCATAAATTTCAGCAGAATCAACCAAAACAGCCGATTTTCGTGCTTCCAAACGGGCTCTAATATGAAATGCAAAAAATGATCCGAATTCATATTTTTACCCAACATATGCAAATAATCATAGATCCACTTTTTTACACTTGATAGTGGAATTTTTGGGCGGGAAAAATTAACAAAATTAAGGAAATAAATTTGATTTTACTGTAGAATACACCGTTGTGACACTGTTTGACATTGATTTGTACGTTTTTGCACTATTTTGATGTAGACACTTTGTCAAATAAGGAAGAAGAAGAAGTGTGAAGTTTATTTTGGATCTACTCAAAAAGGAAAGTGTGTTGGTGATTTTAGTATCACCAGGGTCATTTTAGTGTAATGGAATTTACAGATTACCAATGAAGTTCAAGTTTAATTTTAGACAAGTTAGGAGGTGCGGAGCGCACACTTGTACGAAATTAAATTTAAACTTGGTTCGATTAAATGGCGGGGGTCAAGGGGGCTGCGCCCCCTTGCGGGGTCCAAGGGGCAGCGCCCCGGACCAAAATTTTATTTTATTAAAGAAATAAATATGGAAATTCGGATAAACATGTCCATATTAATTATTTAATAGAATGACTTTCTGTTAGAGTAAAACTCTAACCGATTGGCCTTATCTCTTTGGTAATCAGAAGAATTCGAGTTCTACTAAAACTGCTAGTTCGTGGTCTATATATTGGTGCCTCAGTTTTAGACTGTCTCTCAGAGTGATTATCCCCATAATCTAAATTTCGTGTAACCCAGGCATAGGGTCGAAATATTAGATTCGGAAAGTGATCACACGATACTCTGAGAAATCCGCCAGATTTTCTAAAACAGTTTCCCAACTCCCCAGGTTTAACAAAGTGTGGAATTTATTTAGGACAAGAGGGAGTATATAGATATTCAGTATTTATTAAAGAACTCGTACCATAGTTTTGCAGCTTGCAAAGTAAAGAAGGGGACAAACTCCTTTGTGCATATCGACTTCTGTTAGCAGAGAGACAAAAACTGCAATTATTCAACAGATGGATTTTGAAGTAGTCTTCTCATTTTTTTAACTTCTCATTTCTTGACTTCTCATTTTTTTGACTTCTCATTTTTTTGTCTTCTCATTATTTTTACTTCTCATTTTTTTACTTCTCGTTTTTGTGACTTCTCATTTCTCAATTCTCTTTCAATAAAACGGGTAAAATGGAAAGAAATGAATGGAAAAAAACCATAGTTGTTAATACCTACCCAATCTTAAAATGGGTAAGGTAAATGGTGGTTGTTAGGTAGTATCTTGTGCAGTATTAAGAAAATTGTTTTTTAAGTGCAAAAACAAATTGAAGCAAGGCTGTCTTCATTAAATTCTAAACACAAAATGTCTGAGATTGTCAAAGGAGGTTGGAACAAGTATCTCCTCCAGCTCCAACTCCATCCTCTTCGGACCAAGGTTATTTTTCCTGCTTTCGCTAATAAGTTACTGAAGTTATTCATATAATCATATTCCATCACTGTATTAGAGATCATCTTTTTCACTATTGTTTTACACAGGCAATAACAGCCGGAGTTTTGGTTGGGTCCAGTGATATAATTGCTCAGAAGATTTCTGGGAATAAGAAGCTTCAATTGAAAAGAATACTTCTTTTAGCTGTATTTTTCATTCTTCTTTTAGATGATTGTTTTCTTGATTTCTGGGCTTTTCTAGATTGATGGAGAGAAAATTTATGGGATGTGTGATATTTGTTGTAATTGCAGTTATATGGGTTTGCATACTCAGGACCATTTGGGCATTTTCTGCACAAGTTGATGGATTATCTGTTCAGAGGAAAGAAGGGCAACAAAACTGTTGCTACCAAGGTCAAACTACTGAAATTACCCCCCCCCCCCCCCCCCCCCACACACACACATATATCTTTTTTCCAGCAATTTTTTGCTTTAGTAACATTATTTTTTTCCTAGATCTTGTGCAGGTCTTGTTGGAACAGTTAACCTCTTCTCCTTGGAACAACATGCTTTTCTTGATGTACTATGGCTTAGTGGTTGAAGGTATATGTGAGGCCATCAAGGGAATCTGTTTTCTTTCCTATAGATCTAAACATCACCCAAGCTTATTACTCTGCATTTAGGGTAAAACTGGGTTTTAGCCTAGTAGAGTAGTATTTATGCAGTTTTACTAATTTCAGTCTCTCCATTTTAGCTTTTTTATAATCAAGGTGTCGTAGGTCTGACTCAGAAGACAATCTCGACCCTCCAGAATGAATGGAGCTTATGAAAGCACTCTCAATCGATCTGTCATTATGTTGAAGATTGTGTAGGAGTACAATCCCAAGTAATAACTAGAAAATATGAGTACAACCAACTTGAATAGAAGTGTCCACTGACATTTTTCATATAATGTCTTTGAAGGCTGCTGAAAACAAATACTCTATGTCCCTTTTTAGTTAGGCATCTTTGACTTTTTCGGTGATATAGTCAAAGATGTTAGACTTTGATCGATAACATAATATATTTATATACGAAAGTGTTTATAATATGAATATGGTCTTTATTGAGTACTATCATAAAATTATAAAATTTAAAACTTCACAAAAATATAAGTGTTAAAGTGATTGATTAAAGTTCATCATTGACTAAAAAAATCAAAGATGGCTAACTAGAAAAGGACGGAGGATAAATTATGAGTAATATCAACTCAGTAAGGTCATGTTTGTTGTCCTAACATATTGTGTCGCATCAATTAGATGTTAAGTTAGAAAACAATCCCTTAATAAGTATTGGATAATCCTTTTCCTTATTTGGGGTGGGGTTAGATTGAAGTCATTTTCTTAACACCTTGTTTTTAATGTGGCTTGTGCAGAAAATTTCAATCCACCAATCGCCATATTGGGGTATAGCCAAGAACAGATTTTTGCAAAGTTTAACGAGAGACTAAGATCGTTAAAACTTTTAAGATGTAGAGTTTCATCCTAGAAATGTTAAGAAAACAGATTTAGAAGTCAAAAAACAAAAAACTTTGTTTTTGAGTTTGTATTTCTGTAATCGGCCAGTGTGGGATGGCTTAACAAGTACTAGATAACGGATGGACTTTTAAGAATTAATAAAAAATCATGTTTATATCATATGAAATGGAACATGTATCTGGTTTTGCAGGGAGGCCATGGAGTCTTGTGAAAAAGAAGGTTCGGAAGGACTACCCCTCTGTACAGTTGACTGCTTGGAAGGTATGGAAGTTTAACTTTGCAACCTGCTATATGTAGAGGGGTAAGATCGGAATGTAAATATTCAAGGGAAGAAGTAAGGGGGCCTGACCGGGGCCCTGTCCACGCAAATTTGAAAAAAAAATGTATTTTAAAATTATGTGTAAACATTTATCTGAAAAAACTCTTTATAATGGCTCACCCCGACTTTTGCTCCTGCCATACAACCCTATACATATTTGGTTATTTGTTAACAAGAAACATGATATTGTGACACACAGTTTTGGCCAGTAGTCGGGTGGATCAACTACCAGTACATGCCCCTGCAGTTGCGTGTTTTATTTCACAACTTTGTTGCCTCATGCTGGTTAGTATTATGTCTACAAAACTTGCGAAAAAATATATTTGGTTAGTTGATGAGTCAAAAACATGTATTTACCAAACTGGCTCTAAAGCATCAAATTTCTGAAGAAGAAAAGCTCTACCTAGCCCCACCCCACTTAAGCGCTAGCCGCGTTAGAAGGCCCATGTGATGCTTGTAACCATTACTACTCTAGAGTTAAAATTAGTTTGTTAGACATTACACTAAAAGTTTTATCAAACTGTGGATATGTTACATGTTTTAATTTAAATTAGATAACATGAATAATAAAACTGACAACCAAAATGGGATAGAGAGAGCATTATAATTTTTTCTAGCCTTTTGTTACTATGTTGTAGTTAAAAGAAGTCTTAAAGATTACTCTCTCCATCCCTTGAAGAACTTTTTGTGTTCCCTTCTGGAATCTCTCAAACTAAAATCCTCTTTTTATTTGGTAAAAAGATTCTTATTAATTTACATTACTACTTTTGACTAGACAGTGTCAAACATTGTCAAAACCGCATACTCTATAGTACTATTTACTTTCAATAAAAATGTATTGCAGGAAGTTAAAGAAAAATCTCTTATAAATGTATTGTTCAAACATTTATGTACCTTTACTAAACATCCATCTACATAGTGCCTCGAGGCTGCCAAACGCTTTTTAGAACATTGGCAGCATCAATGGTTCCAAATTCTTCAATGCAAGATACTAATATAATTAATAATCTATCATTGTTCAAATTCTCTATAATTAATAAGCTGTTATTGATCATTCTCTCTGTTATGATATGTTTTAGGGCAATTTTTTTGAATCTGAAGGCAAGATCAGTTGCAATTAAGAAGGCATAATTTGGATGGTGAAGAGACTAGATGCTATTGTTCTCCTCAGCTCTTCCATGTTTCATGATTACTCTTCCTAATTTAGTAATTCCTATTATTCAGTTTTCTTTTTCTAAAATTACAATAATGAATTCCTCTCTTGCTTAGCTTGTATATGAGGTGCAGTAAATTTTATTCCTTCCAATACCCACATAAAATGTTACACTACACAAATTTCAAAATCGCCATTTTCATTTTTAAAGGCTATTTCAATCCAAAAGGAAATAGAGTGTGCATGTATGTAATCTTCTCTGCCATTTTTCCACAAAATTCTTCATTCTTTGTGTGTACATGTTTTAATTTTTATTTATAATCTTATCCACACTTTTTTAATAACCTTCTCCGAGCTTTCTAGAACTAAATAGGAAATATGTAATGTTATCTAAAAATTTAAAATCTATAGATGAAAGGGAAGGAACGTGTGCGGCTTCCAATAATTTAACATTGTACAATAATGTATTTGCACTTTTATTATGAGCTCAAAGAGCAACTTTTATTTGTCATAATTGTAGGAGTACTGCTTTTTTTCTTCAGTTTCTATGGTTCTTTTACAGATTAGACATCCTAAAGTAATTAACTTAAGGATATGTTTGGCATATCACTTCAACTCAAAGTGGGCTGAACATACTAATTATACCAGAAGTAGCGATGTTTGGATAAATGGGTGAATTAGGCTTAATGGAAAGAATGGACTCGATGGAAACGTTACTAGCATTAACATTTCTATGCAGTCAATTATTCCTCCGTATATAATGCCCCAGTTTGAATAATAGCGGCTTGAGCAAACCGCCGATTAATTTCAATTGCAAAACGTTACAAAATGCAGCGATTAGGTAGCAATACCCTATCCTTCACATTGTTTCTGTCTCTTCTCTAGCATTAGTATACCTTTATATGATTCAAGATTTTGACCAAGTATATATATTTATTGAAAATTATTTATAATATAAAAAAGATATGAAAATGTTCTTTGTTAAAAGTACTTTCATAAACGTATAAGAATTTATAACTTTCATAATATTATACGGAGTACTAATCAAATCATGGTCCAACTTTTAGGATTTGGCTAAATATTATGGGACGAAGGTTAGTATGATTTATCCAAAATTTTCTTCTTGTTTATATAGATTTTATAGGTTTTATTTAATTTTCTCCTACTGGAGCTCTTCTTCTATATGAAAATGATTTCTCCTCCACAAAATCAATTCAGTTTCATCCTTTTTTGGGGATTTGTACAGTCCAGCGGTTATTTGAAAAAAAAACAGATTATATTTTTTACAGAAAAACCGAAATTTTAACCGGGGTTGACGTTAAACAAATATATTGTCACTTCTACGTACAGAAAAACCGAAATCTTTGAAGTTTTGTAAAAAATAATACTCTGTACTACTTCTATCCCATAAAATAGCTCACACTTTGATTTGGATTGAAATTTAAGATAGTGAAAATAAAGTGTAAATATATGATTGTAGTTGAGTTATAAAAAATAAATGAATTATAGTCACCCACAACTTTTCAAAAAGGTAAAAAATTATTTTTATGTTTTTTTAAAAAACACTCTTCAAATCGAGACTGCCCGGAAACGCAAATAGGGAATCATTAGTTACTTAGCTCTAAACCTCATCTTTTTGGTTTTATTGGCACTTTCAAAATTTATACATACACAATCTCTTGGAAATTTTATTGTCACTTCAAACACTTCTGAAGAGATAAAAATGCTATCAACTTAATGGTTCCATTTATTTTTTACATTTTTTATTTCTATGTTATCCATCCAAGCTTCTCTGTCTACATCTACTTTAGTTCTAATAAAGTAGAGTTATCTCAATTGAAATTGATGATTTCTACTTAAACTGGTTTTGTGCCCGGGAAGTTGCCCTGGGTGCAACTCCATATGTGAAATATATGTGAAATATATCATTCGTGTGAATTTTGTAATATAATTATCATCGTCAAAAGCATTGAAATATTTATTAATTCGATACAATATTATATACAGAGTAATATATAATAATAAAGAATATAGGATTCTTAAGTCTTAACACATTAGAATGACTGAAAGACATTAAAAAATTGTGAGACTATGTTCCTAAATTCTTGAAAGCTTCACTATAGACAACATTTATGGTCTTGGAGGGAAATCCCCGATCTTTACAACGAATAAAATTTTTCAATCCTTCTTTGCTCTTGACCCTTTATATGGAAACATATAATTGGACGTGAGTGAAGACATTTTTCTCAAGATATAGTCTCACATGAGATAAAGACTAAACTTGGCTCTTGTTGATGCTCATCGCAAAGCATACCATAACCAAGGTGCACCTTACACGCACCTTGGTTATTCTTTTATATATGTTATATGAATTCTTCTTTAGAAGCATCTGCAAGTCTTCGTTTGATCTCTTCATGTTTTGGTCCCAGCTGATCTCAAATGATCTTCAGAGTTCCATCACAGAAGTTGGCAACCTCATCTAGCAACATTAAGCGCTTCTTTTCTTCATAAATGAGATAAACTATCCTGACGTCAGCCTCATCAAAAATATGAAGAGGAGGGTACTTCTCGAGTCCTTGTCTGGATACTTTTGGCCGTGTGAGATTTACATTTGAAACATTATTTTCGAGGGCCATCGGAAGATCATGAGTGGCGTGAACTCGAACTTGACTTAGAATTAACCTTCTGATCGCTTCATACCCTTCTTAGAGTACTTTTCTCTTCTTGATGGGGAGTTTCCTATATGCCATTGACATTTGATAGATGTCATCCATTTTGAGCATGAAGAAATCGTTCTCCTGACAGGTAACTTCCGCTTCATCAGTATTTGAAGCTTGTAGACATAAAATTTGATTCCACCGAGATCTCCTTAGATACTTTCAGAATGTCTCGTCCCAGATGGGGGATTTGTTTGTTCTTAGATCATGTTGTAGAATTTCTCGTTGTCGTCCCATTTATCGGTTGTTGAGCATATGAAATGTTCACCTATGAACTTTCCTTTTAGATGGGTAAGACCTCTGACTTTGAGTTCATCGATCCTCTTGATTTTGTCAGGTCTTCTCCATATGTTCTTCCTTATTTCCTCTTGGAAGGGGGCTGTGGTCCTTATGTTTTCCCAAGGTTTATCAATTTTGGGCAGAAGAGTTCTTGTTCATCTGATGACCTTGGGTAGCTCTGTTGGAGCTTGGTTATAGTTCTCCCCTTCCTTAAGTTCATCATTGTCGAGCCCGATCAAACCAGGAGCACATTTGTTCAACAACTCTCTAAAATGATATGTGTGATTTGCATGTTGTCTACTTCACACTCAACTCTGAGTTTATTCCACTTTTCTTCTAGGACATAATCTTCAAGTTGATCATGAATTGATGGAGCTGGAGTGTGTGTGGGAGCTTGCTGCTGTGGTGACCTGTAAGTAATTTCGAGATCAGTACGATTGCCCGTTATCATGATTACATCAGAACTGGGTTCCAACAAATTGCCTGAATAGATGGGTGTACACGAAGTAGCAACCTCAAGACTTCCGTTCTATCCTTGGTCAACATCTATAGAAGATGAGCCTAGGAGCATTCTATCTAGCCTGACCAAGCCAGAGGTTAAGGGCTGAGTGGTGTGGGTTTCGGGTTGTGAGGAGGATTCGGGTTGTTGGGTATGTGAAGAGGAGGGTTGGTTTGGTTGAGACTGTGGTTGGCTAGATGAGGCACCTTGCTCAAGCATTTGTTGCCTCTTGTTCTCCCCCTCATGAGGATCTGAATCATCGGGGGTCCTCATGTGAATGTTTATGGTCGTGGAGACTGTCCCGACAGGTGAACTCGGTTTCAAGGAGGCAGAGAAGTTTATGTTGGTTGGGGGAAGGTTTGGTTCAGCTATGAGGCGTAGGTATAAGATGTCGGTGAGAGAAGAGAGAGGTTCGGTATCAGGATCAATTCGGTTTAAGTTGACAAGTGTAAATCACAATAAAATCAAACTTCTGTCAGATTGTAATATTCAGACTACAGAAACTCATAATAATGCTTGTGATGTTTGTCATTTTGCCAAACAAAAACGTTTACCTTTCTCAAAAAGTGAATCTTATGCTCAATCTTCTTTTTATGTTTGGGGACCTTACAAAGTCCCATCTTATCGTGGTTTCAAATTTTTCCTTACAATTGTTGACGACCGTACTAGATGTACTTGGATTTATATGATGAAAACCAAATCTGAAGTAAGATTTCATATGCTCAATTTTTATAAAATGATAGAAACTCAATTTCATAAGAAAATAAAATGTATTAGAACTGATAATGGTTCTGAGTTTATGTTTACAAATTTTTATCATTCATATGGTATGATTCATCAATTGTCTTGTGTTGAAATTGTTGGGTGTGTCTGGAAAAAACGAAGAAATATTAATTAATAAAAATAAGTAATTAATTTAAATAGCTAAAGAAAACAGAAATAAGATGGAGCAAAGTTTAGCCAGAGCTCGTGCTACGCACGATGTCCTTAAAATGTATTTGTCGCCTCCCACGATGCTAGGAGCGTTGCAACGACCGTTTCCCAGGATACGGTGGCAAACGAACTAACGTTTGAGCATACAAACGAAAGTTCCGGCGAACGGGAATAAGCTTAGAACTCTTGGGAATTTTCGGAGTAGCTGGAAGTGTTTTAGAGCTAAAAAACTATGTGCAGATTTCTTGTCAACGTGTGTTTGGTGTAAAACACCTGCCAGCTATTTATAGGAGGATTTGTTGTGTGTTAAATGGAGTGTTAATGGACCTGAACGTTGGACATCAATGACTAGTCCGTTGGGCATTGGATCGTCCATAAACTGTCCATTTAACGCAGTATTAAAAGACAAGAAGACCTCAAGGTCTTCTGGTCCCGAAGCCAACAGAGACCCTCTCAGGTCTTCTGGTCCGGAGCAGTTCTGCCGCTGAGCATTTCTGATTCTGGGAAAAAAATAAAACGTTATGGGAAGAAACAAAAATTAAATCGTATCTTTGAATGATAGATCCCCCTACACGCGAAGAGAGCATTTCCCTAAAGGAATATTAACTCCTTCTAGGTGGGTTCCCTTTATAAAGGGGTGAAAATCACTTGGGTTTTCCGGTGTGGGATAAATCACACTAGAAACCCATTTTTCCCCTAGTTTTTCCATTTCAACGAGTGAACTTCGAGAATCAATTTCTCATTCACCCGTTATCCGTTTTGAGTGTACCATATATCGAATTGTAGCCCTTAACAAAGACAATCTGAAACCACTTTGACCCGACCCAAATCGGAAGTGGTCCCCACTCAAATAATTGCCCCAAAATGTTCATTTAATGCAATTTTTTAACACATTTTTCCAACAGAAACTTCTCAACAAAATGCTAGAGTTGAAAGAAAACATCAACGTATTCTTGAAATAACTAGAACCTTATTGTATCAATCTTGTTTGTCTATTATTTTTTGGTATGTTGTATTTTCACTGTTGTGCATATCATTAACAGACTTCATACTACTATTCTAAACATAAATCTCCTTTTGAACTTCTTGATGATAAAAGGCGTGATATTTCTCATTTAAAGTTTTAGGTTGCTTAGCCTATGCTTCTACACTTTCTGCCATTATATACACTATCTAATAATAGAAGGCTAAAATAGCATTACATACTTAACAACACAATATATAATATGCGTTTTCTTAAATATTACCAATAAAAATGTCATGGACAAAAATGTGACTTAATAACTATTAGTGACTATAATTGTGCTTAAAGTTTATATCACAATAACTTACTTTTAGTTACTATGGTGCACTACAAAAAAATTCGCTCTTTGTCACGGATTTTTGTCACGGATTACGGCCGTGACAAAGTTGTCACGGGCTTTGTCACGGAATATTGGAATTTGTCACGAAAATGTGTTGTCACGGATAGGTCCGTGACAAAATCCGTGACAAAATATTGTCAGCGGATTTGATCCGTGACAAATTTACTCCGGCGACCGGTTTTTTACTCCGGTGAATACTTTTTTTGCTCCCGGGCATTTGTCACGGACAGATCTGTGACAAATCCGTGTCAAATTTCAAAAAAAAACGTTGTCACGGATCCATCCGTGACAAAATCCGTGACAACCTTCAATTATTGATTTTCCAGCGGTAACCTTTAATAATACAGTACGAAAAAAGGGTTGTCACGGATTAATCCGTGACAAATCCGCGACAAATTTTTGTATATAACCCAACCCCATCCTCCATTACAATTGCAAGAACAACAATTATCAGTTCAAAAATTCGTAGATTCGAGTGATGTAGTATCGGTTTAAAGATTGAATGATGTAATCCGTCAGTTCATCATTTTCCCAGTTTATGCAGATAAGGTATGTCATTTTAACTAATTTCTTTTAATTGTGTAATAAATTAATTATTAGCTTAATTAATTAGTGAGGTTAGTTGTTCATTTATTTAAACTATTAACGTAATTTAGTGAGGTCATGTTAATTTTCATATTATTAACAATATATTATTAAACTATTAACGTAATTTAATTAGATAAATTTAAATATAAATATTAATTAGTTAATTGAAATGAGTTTATATCACCAATGATTAGGCCGGTTTGTTTATCAGCAGCTATTGTTATTAATGCATAATTTAGGATGTGTAGTGAATTAAGTATTAGCTAGCTTATTATAGATTAATTAATTAGTGACTTGTAGTGATTTAATTAAGTTAGCTAGCTTATTAGGTTATTATCACCAATTATTGTTTATTAGCAATTATTATTAATGGGATGCATAATATAGCTAGGATTGAAACTTTATTATTATTTAGTTTAGTGTGAATTATTAATGAGATAATATTTAACAATAATATTAGTTAAATGTAAATTAATTAACTAAGTTAAAACATTGAGGAAATGAGTTTAGAATTTGAGTTGATAATATTAGTTAGATTTAAATATTAGTTAATTGAAATGGGTTTATAACCAATGATGATTAGGTTTAATTTGTTTATTAGTTAATTATTGTTAATGCATAATTTAGGATTTGTATTGATTTAAGTTAGGATTCAAACTTTATTAGTTAAGTGTGAATTATATATTATTGTGAATTAATGATATTTAACAATATTAGTTAAATGGAAATTAACTAATTAATAAGTTAAATTAGTTAACTTTAGTATTGTGAATAAATGTCATTAACGTAATAACTTTAATTAGTATTATATGTTAGTTGATTATTTAATGTGTACTATTAGATTTTCATAATTTTAGTATTGTGAATAAACGCCACTAATAAATTTAACGTGTTAAATTTGAACATAATTATAGTCACTAATAGTGACTAAGAGCATCTTCATTCATGATCTCTAATAATCAATTTTTTCTATGATTCTTACCTTTTAAATACTGTTATATAATTAATGTTTAAATAATCTCAATATTCGTTTATGTATCCCAACCATCATCTTCAAATAATCCGATTTTTTTTGTTCTTGCATTAACTTCTATTACATATACTTTTTACATAATCTTAAAATAATCTGGATTCATATTTTGATCCCGGATTATTATAGCAAATAATCTCATTAAATAAATTATGCCTCTCAATGGTGCTCCTTTAAAAAATCTGCCACGTCACTTACTTAATCTCTTAATAATCCTACCAATGGGGATGTCCTAAGTAAGATTTCTGTTAAATTTGAACATAATCACATTTAAAAGAGTAATATTTATGGGCTTTTTTCATATAATATTTATACTAAGGCACTATGATTGAGAAACTATTTCAGTTAATTGAACATTCCTGCGGTGACTTTTAAATTGCCGAAGGCCGTCTCTTGAGATTCTCCCTGCTCCCTCCATTCCTATTAAAACTTCAACTTTCTTTTTTCGTTCGTTCCAATTAAAATTTTAACTTTCCCTTTTTATCAAAAAATTTATGGTTCACAACATTTATTACATTTTTCTCTCTCCGCTGAACAACTCTTCATCACACAATACTCATTATCTTAAATTGTGTGTCAAACCTATTTGGAAGATAAAATAGGAAGGATTAACCGTTTTAACTTTTAGAAATTGTAAAACTTCGAACCTTTTCTAAATTTTTAGAGGCGAATTTGTTCCAAACTATTCAAAATGGCCAATTTGATGTATTTAATGGGAGATTTTGAATTTGAATGTATGCCAAATAAAAATCAGAGTATATGGAGATCATGGATTCATCGTTGAGAAAGAGTTGATAGATTTGGAGACTATGAGCCCATTTTGTAGCACGAAAATCGGCTGTTCTGGCTGATTCTGCTGAAATTTGTGAAGTTCTGGCTGAAGTGACTGCATTGGCTGATTCTGCTGATACAAGAAAAAAATATTTTTAAAATATATTTTATTAATAAAATAAAGAAAAAATTATATGTAAAAATAGCTAAAATGGTCATCTACAGTAACTTTAGCCAATACAGCCAGAAAAGTAACTCCAACCTTACTTTTTCGGCTTATTACACAATTCAGTGCGCGAAAGCAAAATTTACGTGTTTGGTAAAAAAATTGGCTGATAAGCTTGATAAGCCGAAAATGAGGGTTGCCAAACGGCCTCTATAAATATTTTTTATGTGCCATTGACGTGACAATAATGAGTCATAAAAAACTTGTTATTTGAGTAGCATGAGTGAATATGCTCTTATGAAATCTTATGATCTTACTATCTGTGTCAAGCTTGCGTCCGTTAAAATTGTTTTGCATAATTTGTGTTAAATCTTCACATCCCTTTTACATACTAAAGGAAAAATGAAAATTTTCCTTTATCATAATGTAAACGATGTGTCAATCATGTCGCTCATGCACTTATAAGGGCTAACGTGATTCTTGGGATTGTATGAGTAGTCATGATCCTTTAACGCATCATGTTCTTAGTCCCAGACGCCCCTTGGAGTAAAAAGAAAAACATCATGTTCTTAGCCTTTATGGCAAATGTTTTACTTTATTGAATAGAAGATTTATTCTAAGTGAAGAAAGTAATTGGCAACAAATTTCATGTTATATGTTTCCTGCAGGGCTTATATCTATTACTAAGGCCCTGTTCAGCATTCCCTTCTGTTGATAAAGGGCTGGAATTTATTAAATTCAGTCAATTAAAATAAATATAGACATGTTTGTTTAAAGAGTTTAAATGAGCTTGAACTGAAATAAATAGCCTGAATTCAAACGTTTATACCCGTAACGTTTATATTCAGCCCACTATTTCCGGACTTCCTTTTCCCATCACGCCCACTTCTCCCTGGTTAACATTCTTCCAAAAAACCTTGTTTCGTCCCTTCCACAAACACTAGAGAAACATCCTCATCTTTTCCTTCCAAATAATCCTTGACCCAATTCTCCAAACTCGTCGAACTACAACTCTATATTACACAAAATATATCGGGCACTTACAAGCACTGACATATTGATATGACTAATGGATTCATTATCAATGTAAAAAATAGCATTTCCAACTCTTTATTTTTCAAAGTAAGCATGTGATTATTGACCTAATACTCATAAGGTTGAAGAAATAATAAAATGGTCTCAAATTTATATAGAAATTGCTCTAAATAGAAGCAAAAACGTTTTGAAATTCCAAAATAAGAGTATCATGTTTTTTATTCCCTGAATAGGAGTAATATGCCATGATTGGAAAAAATGTCATGTTTTAGAGCCTAGTAATACCAAATTTGGCAGAAATTTACTTATATTCAAGGAATAAAAAACATGATACTCCTATTCAGGGAATTCTCCCAAATTTATACTACCGTATTAAATAACTTCACACACACTTATTCAATTGAATCAAGCTTGAATTATTTTTACAATTCTAAAAACATTTGCTTACCCCCTCTTTCATAAAATAAAAAAATAACGAAAATAAACTGCAGTCTCAATATAAAAATGTATTTACTATTAAATAGTTTCCAAAAAAGGGATTAAATAATCTCAAAGTCAAAATATATACTAACGTATATTACCACCTTATTTATTCTACTAGGAATTTTTACTCTTTAAACTGCAGCCATATAAAAGTTTATCAAAAACCTCCTCTGTCATGATAGTGATAATATACTAACATGAAAATAGAAATAACTAGAAATAACAAAAAAAAAAATAGAAGGCTGAGTAAGAAAATTTGGTCAAAATTATGGAATTGGGGAATTGGGACGTACGTAGTACTAAACTTGAAATTGTACTCTCATTCTGAAAAAAATAATGTTTACATTTTTTATTTTTCCTCTTTTTAAGTATAATCCGTATTTATTAAAGAACTCTTACCATAGTTTTGCAACTTGCAAAGTAGAGAAGGGGACAAACTCCTCTGTGCATATCGACTTCTGTTAGCAAGAAAGACAAAAACTGCAATTATTCAACAGATGGATTTTGAAGTTGTCTTCTCATTTTTTCTTTCATTTTTTTTACTTCTCATTTCTTGACTTCTCTTTCTTTTTTTTTGACTTCTCATTTTTTGTCTTCTCTTTCTTTTTTTTTGACTTCTCATTTTTTGTCTTCTCATTATTTTGAATTTCTCATTTTTTGACTTCTCATTTTTTTGACTTCTCTTTCTTGTGACTTCTCATTTTTCAATGCTCATACAATAAAACGGGTAAAACCGAAAGAAATGAATGGGAAAAACCATAGTTGTTATTACCTACCCAATCTTAAAATGGGTAAGGTAAATGGTGGTTGTTAGGTAGTATCTTGTGCAGGATTAAGAACATTGTTTTAAGTGCAGAAACAAATTGAAGCAAGGTTGTCTTAATTGGAATTCAACGTGTGCCCTTTCATTCCATTCGTAGTGTATATATATATATATACACACATGGTATTACATGTGATGTGTACAGATAAGAATGCTAAATAACAAATTCTATCACTATCCATCCGTAGTACGCGAGCTCTGCATTCATATGGGTACAACAATAATTCAAATGATATTAAATATTTATCAATAATTGCTAATACCGAGTATTATGGTGAGTGAAATGGAAACCATTGCATGTGGGTGAAGTCCTCCGTGATGCATGCATGTGTCGAGCCGTTGCATGTGGGCGATGTAGTCCGCTATGCATGCATGTGCCAAGCATGGGACATGTGTACGTTAACACCCCCCCTCAGTCAAAGCGGGAGGTGGCCAAATGCTTAGACTGGACCTGAATTCATCAAATAAAATCCAAGGAAGCCCTTTGGTGAAAATATCTGCAAATTGGTGCCGAGAAGGAACGTGTAGAACCCGAACTTCCCCACGTGCTACTTTTTCCCGAACAAAATGTATATCCATTTCTATATGTTTTGTGCGATGATGTTGAACAGGATTGCCAGACATATAAACTGAACTTATATTATCACAATAAACCAATGTAGCCTTGGAGAGAGGGCATTGAAGTTCTAAAAGGAGATTGCGTATCCAACACGTCTCAGCAGCGACGTTAGTGACGCCCCTGTATTCGGCTTCGGCACTTGAACGAGAAAGAGTAGCCTGGCGTTTCGAAGACCATGAGAGTAGGTTGTCACCGAGGTAAACGCAATAGCCGGAGGTTGACCGACGGGTGTCTGGGCAGCCACCCCAGTCCGCGTCGGAATAGGAAATCAAGCTATCAATGGGCGACGGCCGGAGATGAAGACCGAAATGAAGAGTGCCTTTAATGTACCTAAGAATCCGCTTGAGGGCATGTAGATGAGGGACACGGGGGTCATGCATGAATAGACAAATTTGTTGAACGGCGTAGGAGATATTCGGGCGTGTAAAAGTAAGATATTGAAGGGCGCCGGCTAAGCTGCGGTAAAGAGTAGGGTCTTCGACCGGTGGCCCGGCAGTTGCACTAAGCTTGGAGTTTGTGTCAACTGGTGTAGCCACAGAATTACAGTCAGAGAGACTAGCCCGAGAGAGGATTTCATTGGCATATTTGGCTTGATTAAGAAAGATACCGTGTGGGTGACGAGTGACGGCAATTCCTAAAAAATAACTGAGGGGTCCAAGGTCAGTCATAGAGAACTCAGTGGCCAAAGTTTTAATGATGGAGCAACGAAGATCAGCGGAGGAGGTGGTGAGGATGATGTCGTCCACATATAACAGGAGGTAGGCTGTGTGGTGATCATGGTGATATATAAATAATGATGGATCACATACACTGTTGCGGAATCCAACAGTGGAAAGGAAAGAAGAGAACCGGTGATACCATGCTCGGGGAGCTTGTTTGAGGCCGTAAATTGATTTGAGAAGTTGGCAAACATGGTGTGGCTTGTTGGGGTCACGGAAGCCGGGAGGTTGATGCATGTAGACGGTTTCCTCCAAATTGCCATGAAGGAAAGCGTTTTTGACATCAAGTTGGTGGAGCAGCCAAGAGTGATGTAATGCCATGGAAAGAACAGTCCGTATAGTTGCCGATTTAACCACCAGGCTAAATGTTTCATCACAATCGATGCTCATTTGTTGTGATTTACCGTTGACTACAAGACGTGTTTTTTGTCGTTCAAGAGCTCCATTGGACCTGTATTTATGTTTGAAAAGCCAAAGACAACGAATGATATTGGTATTAGGGGGCCGGGGAACCAACGCCCACATCCAATTTTTAATAAGAGCACTAAACTCGTCTTGCATGGCAGATAGCCAATTCGGGTCACGTAAGCCAAGAATAGGTGACTTGGGAAGAAGAGAGGGTATTATGACGGTCTGAGATAGGAGGGATATGGGATGTTTGGGTTTGAAAACACTCACCTTGCTACGTGTAACCATTGGATGGTGTGATATTAGGGGAGGAGGTGAGTCAACGGGTTGTGTGGGAGGAGTGGATATGTGGTGGCTAGGTGGAGAAGTATGTGGAGGTGGAGATGTGGGGCTTGCAGGAGTTGTCGGTTGGATATGGATTGGGAGTGTAGAAGGAGTATTCAGGAGGTAGGGTAATAGGATAGGATTAATAGGAGTTTGGAGAAAATTATAAGTGGGTGGAGTTGTAGTCTCGGTCAAAGACTTGTAGGGAAATATTTTTTCATTAAAAATGACATGCCGAGACACACTTATTTTGCCAGTATGGGGATTGAGGCAAATATAGCCTTTGTGGTGAGTGGGAAACCCAAAACAATGCATGGCATGGACCGAGCATCTAATTTATGAACGGTAGAAGGCGGATGGTGCGGATAACATAAACATCCGAAAACTCGATGTGGTCATAGGATGGGCTTTTGTGGTATAGAATATGTGTAGGGGAGAGATTGGAGAGGGTGGAGGAGGGTAAAATGTTGTGTAAGTAAGTAGCCATTTGGACGGCGTGAGGCCAGAATTTTGGTGGGATGGAGGCTTGTAGGAGCAAGGTTCAAGCCATGTTATTAATAGTGTGTATGGTACGCTCAGCTTTGCCATTTTGAGGGGAGATGTATGGACATGAGAAACGGAAATGTAGATCATGTTGTGTAGCAAAGTCGGAAATAAAGAGTTGTCAAATTCTTTACCATTGTCACATTGGAGGGTTTTTATATTTTGATTAAATTGTGTATGAATGTAGGTATAGAATTTGACAAAAGTCGGATAGACTTGAGATTTATGTTGCAAGGGATTGATGGAGTATATGGGTCTAGGCCCCAGGACCCACATACTCAGAAAAACAGAAGGTACCACGATCACCTGGTAGGACCCCCATCGGCCGGATAACCTCCATCGGCCAGAAGAATATGATCCAGAAGCCAGGAGAACCGGGTGACCTCGTCGGCCGGGTCTTCGTCGGCCATGCCCTCATCGGCCATGCCCTCGTCGGCCATAGATAGCCTCTAGAACAGGATTTTATACTTAGTCATTTCTGTACACTTTGTATTTGGCCAATTAGAGGCCCTGTTGTAAATGGGCCTCCCAAGCCCAAGGCTTGGGAGCCCAGCCCATATTTTCCCTATAAATACTTCCTCTGGGAGTAGTTGTAGGGGTTGACAAATCATTTATTGCAAGGAATTATTGCACTTCTCTCTCTAGCTCTCCCTTCTCTCTAGATATATAATCTATCAGGAATATATCCAAAGGAATTTAGAAAAATCATCCAAAAATAACACATAGTTGTGATGACTATTAGGACTTAAAATTGGCGAAGTCCAAAGGTCACTATGGGGAAAGTGTATGAGATATAGAAGAAACAAATGGGAGTTTATTATGTTTGCCCAATTGACAGGCCATACAATCCAAACTACACATTTTTTATTACATGAAATGATTTTATTAGAACTGAGAAACTGAAAAACGGGGTGGCCGGGGTGGCCGAGGCGATTGTGCCATGTATCGGCCGGAATAGCAATGTAGGCGGTGGGAGATGATGACTGGACAGAGGCTGGCCGAAGGGGATAGAGATCGCCCGAGCTATTACATCTCATAAGAGGCGTTCCCGTCTGGATTTCCTTCACAGAAAAGCCAAATGGGTCAAACTCAATTGAAATATTATTATCAGTAGTAAGACGACGAACAGAAATTAAATTTTTGACTAAATGAGGAGCATGAAGAATATTTTGTAGGAGGATTGGTGGGTTGGGTGGAGAAAGAGACGTACTGTCATGACCTATAATGGGTATAGATTGACCATTACCCACCATAATACGTTGTTTAGTACCGTTATTAAAGTAAGACGTGAAAGTACCTCCATTCGACGTCATATGAGACGTGGCCCCCGTGTCAAGGTACCAATTGTCATCCGGGGGAGTGAGAGACATGCTTGCCATGGCGTTGGTTATGTCCGCGTGAGCAGCAATGTGGGCTTGTTGAGGTCGTGGACCTAGAATCCCGGCAGCAAGAGATGAAGGTCGAGAAGTGTTGTGAGTCTGACATGCAGTAGAGGGGTATGGACAAGGCGGGATACTCCAAGGGGGCGGCCAGTAGCCCTAGGGCGCATCTGCCATGGGCTGGAAGCCTATTGGTTCGGCGATGGAGTATTGGACGGCCGGTTACGACCACCACGTGAAGACCCACGTCCCCTACCACGGTTTGGCGGATGACCATCCGGACGCGGTGCAGGTGCATGAACGTTGGTATGGACTAAGACAGTAGGAGATGAATTATTTTGTTGAGCCTTCCTATTTTCTTCCAAAAGAAGCATTGAGCGAGTCTTGGAAAAAATTGGAAGAGGAACGGTTTGTTGGATAAATGAGGCAACCGTGTCATAGGACGTTGGGAGACCGTTCAGGAGATGCAACACCAAGCGGCGTTCATCCACAGGAGAGCCAACGTTAGATAGTTTTGTGGCCAAGGTTTTATGTGCCTTGCAATAGGAAGAGTTATTGGGGAAGCTTTCCAATCGAGTATTGGAAAATTCGGTCTCAAGGTGGAGTGCTCGAGAATGTTTGTTGTCAAGAAAGAGATCAGTCGGACGATCCCAAGCTTGTTTGGCAATAGAATCGGGCTCGAGAATAGTGTGCAAAAGATCATGGGAAATGGTCCCATAAATCCATTGTAACACCATGGCATCGAGCCGATTCCAAAGGGCATCGGATTCGGCTTTGGCAGCGGCAGCGGCAAGAACTTGTTCCCGGGTTTGGTCTGGAGGTGTCGTGGAAGAGGTGGAGGCAGTTGAGGTATTGACGGCAACGGGAAAGCTGTGATCTTCAACTTGATAGGCACGAGTTGTTATTTTAAAAAGTTCGGTCCAGGAGGAGTATTCCACATTTTCCAGATCAAGAGTGATAGGAATGAAACTTTTTATATTTGTGAGAGCTAAAGCAGGATGAAACGAAGGAGATTTGGCAGAAACCATGGGAGGAAGAAAAGAAAAAATGTCTTGTGTCTCTGATACCAAATTGGAATTCAACGTGTGCCCTCTCATTCCATTCGTAGTGTATATATATACACATGGTATTAGTGTATTACATGTGATGTGTACAGATAAGAATGCTAAATAACAAATTCTATCACTGTCCATCCGTAGTACGTGAGCTGTGCATTCAGATGGGTACAACAATAATTCAAATGATATTAAATATTTATCAATAATTGCTAATATTATGGAGAGTGAAATGGAAACAATTGCATGTGGGTGAAGTCCTCCGTGATGCATGCATGTGTCGAGCCGTTGCATGTGGGCGAAGTAGTCCGGTATGCATGCATGTGCCAAGCATGGGACATGTGTACGTTAAAAGTCTTCATTAAATTCTAAACACAAAATGTCTGAGATGGTCAAAGGAGGTTTGAACAAGTATCTCCTCCGGCTCCAACTCCGTCCTCTTCGGACCAAGGTTATTTTTCTTGCTTTCGCTAATAAGTTACTGAAGTTATTCATATAATCATATTCCATCACTATATTAGAGATCATCTTTTTTATTATTGTTTTACACATGCGATAACAACTGGAGTTTTTGTTGGGTCCAGTGATATAATTGCTCAGAAGATTTCTGGGAATAAGAAGCTTCAATTGAAAAGAATACTTCTTTTAGCTGTATTTTTCATTCTTTTTTTAGATGATTGTTTTCTTGATTTCTTGGCTTTTCTAGATTGATGGAGAGAAAATTTACTGATATAGGATGTGTGATATTTGTTGTAATTGCAGTTATATGGGTTTGCATACTCAGGACCATTTGGGCATTTCCTGCACATAGAAAAAAACGCAACAAAATTGTTGCTACCAAGGTCAAACTACTGAGGAGGAAGGGGTTGGTTGAAGCAACAACATAGAGTTTGGGGGTCCTAAAGTGATGAAGATTGAATAGAGAGATGATGATGAGGGGATGAGGAAGGATTTGGTTGTAGCACCAAAATAGAGCTACAAATAGGGATAAAAAATATAACAGTGGCAAGTTCAGATCAAGGGAGGTTAATTTCTAGTATCAGGTTTCAACTATCTATAGCATTATACCATTTCACTTTACTTTTTACTTTGAGATTTGTGTCTTTTTGGTGAGTTTCATTTTTGTTGTAAGTCTTTACTGATTAGAAGAAATAAGGTTCATAGAGTCGATTTAATCTTCAAGACTCACACTTGCTAAGTAGTTTGATTTGTTCTTTGCAGGGCAATCGCTTCCACGTCTAATAATGGATGGGGGGACTTTTGGGCTATGCTGAAAATCTAGAAGGTTGTGTCGATATACTGAGTCTATTTTTGACATACTGATTTTCATGATTTTAATACAAGATACTAAACATCTACGAGCAATTCAAAAAAAGCAGATCAAAGCATTTGTGAAATAAACAATTTTTATTTTATAAAATACAGTTTTGAGATCACATTACTCACTTTTGATGCACAACTCACCTCATTTCATTCATGTTTAAACGTAAGACAATGATATAAAGTGGTCGATATGTCAGTGGCCGACTTCAAGTAGATGATTTAGAGCCCATTACCCCATTGAATATAGATTATTTAGCTATGTGACTGATTGAGGTGAATTGTCATATAGAAAGAAATCTTCGGTGAAGAACTATTTCAACAAAATAATTAATCATATCACCTTTCATTACCCAACTGCCACTTAGCGTTTAAATGAATAAAAACAATAAGAATGTTGAAATAAAATGTTAGGGAAGTCCACAAGTTGCAACCATATTATTATGAATGAATCTAGCTTTTCGATATCCCGTTCACCAACGTTGTAAAATGTTTAATCTCATAAAAATGAAGACTAGTCTTGCATATGCTTACAAAGGTGTAATAGGAGCATATGTATTGTCTTTTGCAATGAAATGGGAATTTATAGGCGGTAGCTCTAATTGAAGAAGCTATAAAGAGATTAACTATTTATATTTTATATTAATAATTGTTTTTAGTATAGTGTCATACATTCATACCTATGGCAAATCTTATAAAGCTTTTAATTGTTACAAGTCACAACAAGTTAAGGATTAAGTATCTCATCAATGGGCCAAACATATATTTTGGTGCTTATTCTCATTTGAGGTATCAAAATATCAAATATGCATAAGGAAAGAAAACGAAAAAGTCTAGGGAAAATGTCCTCATCGTTATGACATGCCATTCAGACAAAACGATGTTCCACATGACTCCTCCCAAGAAAACCATAGGGACATACCATTCAATCTAATAGCACTTCAAACATCCAAAAAGAAGTTAAATTGAACCATACATTGCCTAAGGTCTTTGCCAATGTTTTCATACGACCTTTCGAAGCTATCACAACTTTTGCTAGTCAAATCACAAATGGATACTAGTAGGGATGACCCATAACCGGCCCGAACCGGTACTGTTACGGCCCAGCCCGGTACACGATTCTGTGCCCGATTCGGGTCACCCAGCCTGGCACTATAGAGGGGCGGTTCCCAAGCTCCCAAATGATGAACCGGCCCAACCGGTTCAGGCCCAATCCGGGCCAAATTTAATTTTTTTTTGTTTTTCAAAATTTTTAAAAGGTAAATGGGTTGTGCCGGTGTTTTGGAGTGTTTGAGGTGTGGGGGGTTGGAGGGGTAGGAAAAAATTGGAAAATAAAAAAAGGGTACCCAGCCCGACCCGGCTCGATACCCGCCGGTTAGCCCGGCCTGAACCGGACCCGGTAGGTACCCGGGCCGGTTCCGGGCCTCACTTCTCCAAAAAAAAGCCCAGTCGAAACCTGACCGAGGCCCGGCCCAGCCAAACCGAGTCCATGCCTAGATACTAGGTTGAGCAATCCATATTAATATAAATTTTTTTAAAAATTAATTGACAAATCTTAGGTACCATAGTTAAACTAAAATTTTCTCCACATGTATATAAAGACATCTAAACTCAAATGTCCTCTCTATTCAATTATTTACAAGTACTAATATTTATTTATTGCATTTCATTATTACTAGTATACACGGTTACAAACTACTCGTTTATGCGATCTTTTCTTAACAAAAAGCCATCAATATAGTAAAATCCTTAATATCCCATCGCTTTATGCATTCTTCAAAAACAAGAAATTGATCACCAAGTAATGAGGATATTAATGCTAACTATCCAAACAATAAATAAAATAGATAACACCACAATGAGTTACACTCCCTTAGTAGTTGTGCTTTCATCACATTCATATTTTACCTCCCAATTCGTGAGCAGGTCAGCATATCCTTGTGCTACAATAGTTGCAAAATCTGTTAGTGCGCCGACTGATACAGACATCCCTGAACAAACCACATCGTTGGCAGCATCAACCATCTTTTCTGCTGCCAATGCCTCCTCCTCACAAGGTTTCCCAGCTTCAACAACCATACTATTAGGATCTCTTCTACCCAGATGTTGCGGATATAGGGAAACAATGCCTGAGATGAAGAAGTCCAATCCATTGAGCACTGGGACTTCGTTGACGGAGTCAAGAAGCTTTGACCATTGGACACAAATGTTGAGTATTGTTAGGGCTCCCACAGAGCAACCAGGAGAAGAAAATTGTTGCTTTTGTGTTATGGGATTCGCATTCAAACAACATAAGAGCCACCCTACTAGCGCGTGCAAGTATGAGCGTTGAGAAACAATCCATGTCTCGAAGCAGGCACGCCAGTTTCTTAGCTCACTCTCAAGGTTAGCCACTGAACGGTCCAGCTGGTGTGGTTCAGAAGGTGGTGAACCTTTTGTATAATTCTTAACTAAAGATTCTTGTGATGGTATGTTAGAACCATGGAGTTTGATTTTAGCTTCATCTATTGTACATTTCTGCAATTGATGGCTATCTGCCATCACCTTCCACATTTTACCTAACCTGTTTCACGAGTGTCAGTTCTACATTAATAGCAACAAAATCTCCACCAGTAGATTGCTACTTTTTTTCTTCCACGTATTTTAAACAAAAACAGTGTTAAAATGATACAACTAATTAAAAATTGAAAAATCTGAATCATGAAAAATATGTTCCATTTGACCAAAAGGGAGCATGGAGATACCAACTAGGAAGAAATGCACTGATTATTGAATTTGGATTTACTCCTAAGAGATATTCCTTGTAGGAAAAGCAATACAAAGCCTTTCATAAATGCGTTTATATATTTATTATATCATACCCATCAAGATTGTGGCTCGTTTGAGCAGACAACTTTTGAAATATGTGTGTTCTTTCTTTAATCTTAGTTGCATCAACTTCTTGCTTAAGTGTTGTAATGGGCTATTGCTCATTAGAGAGATCCAATCTTGAAATAGCTCTAAACCTTTTTTTGTGAGTTTGTATGTTTATAATTAACTAGTGTGGAATGACTTATCCATACCCAAGTAACCCAATAAGATGATACCTTTCAACCGTAATTAAGACTTGGGTAGTCTAAAGCCTATGTGAGTTCTCATCTTCATTTATTTACTTACCCTTGCACCAATTGTAATAGCTGAGGCTGAAGTTCTTCGTCCCTCAAAGTTTCAATCCTTTCTGAAATAGTTTCAACAGTATGCATGGAAACTTTAATCTGAGCAAGCAAAATCCCAATAGCTGCTCTTGTTTTATTAATCAAGGGAAGACCAGCCTTGTTCTCTTCTTGATTTTTGAGTTGCGCACACTTCTTTTCATATGCAAGCCGTGTACGTTCAGCTGCCTGATTGATTACACAGAAAAGTATAAGAACTGAATATATTTATACTTCATTTAGTTTAACTACAAATGTTGAATATCTTTTTCAATTCTATATTGAAGAAGCACATTGAAGTCTTCTGAACTGAGTTCTTAAGCTATTGTTTAACTACAAAATGAAACAAAAAAACTTCAATTAATACAACTCAAACCACATTCTTACTGAACTCTCATCATCAAATCACATATCGAGTGTTCATTACACTCTTGCATCCATTAGCATCGAAATGAGCAAGTGTTAGGGCCCGGGTTCCATCCTAAAAGGTAAACCCGAAATCACATATTGAGTGTTCATTACACTCTTGCATCCATTAACATCGGGATGAGTAAATGTTAGGACCTGGGGTTTCATACTACAAGTTCAATGTAATAGGAATAACTCAGAACCTTATAGTGTTTTATTGTTTTATAGAAATCGGGACGAATAGTAAGTTTGAAAACAAAAAAGAAAGATTTGAAAATCCAAGTTATGTGTATCAAATCAAGTTACTTATATAAACAAATGTGCACGTGAAAATTTATGTATGGCATAACGAGAGCTCTTTTGTTCGGTAAACAATATGTTGAATAAAGTTTTGAACAAAAAAAGTAAAAATTAAAATACTAGTTTTAATAAGAAATGATCAGTAGTGTTTTTGTAAAATAATAAGGTTATTATACTGGGAACCAATAAAGCACAGTGGACTTTTAATGAAATGCTGCTATAGGAGATAGCAATTGAAAACTGACACTCTTAATTTTGGCTCTTTTTATGACTCATTTTGAAACTTTTTTACACACAGATTTAAAAAAGGAGGGTACAGTAATCATACTCTGACTTCCACATAAAGTTTCTTCTCCCAGAGTTGCAATTTGTCCAAGGTTGACTGATGACTACAACAAAACCTGGAGTCATCAGAGAAGTCACAACCGCTTCCAGAGTTACTATCACCATCTATAATTACTGGATTCATTAAAAAATTGGATGAAAATGTTTTTGCAGGTCCAGAAGACACCAAGGCTACTGGTTTCAACATGTTTGTTGCTGAAAAAGAACATTAAAGAGTAGATAGGGTAATTGAATTTCGAGTCTTTATGAAATGTTAAAGGACAAGGCTAAAGGACCTCAAATTGTAAACTTAGTAACAATTGATGATCAAGTGTAAATGTAGTCTACAGAAGAACTTAATCATAGACCTACCTACACCAAATTTAGGGATTTGGGATAAAACTTTGTAATATACAACTGCTCATATCATGTTACATATGATGTATTCAGATGGAACAGAATTTCTTCATTAACAAAAGAACTTGTCGTAGTTTAATCTCTCTTAAAGAAGCATTTACAACAAAATCACGGCTACTCAACCTATTAATTCTATCTGACAATGTTCTGTCAGAAGTCATGAAAAAAAGGTAGCCAGCTATCATAATTATGTTCATTACCGAATGATTGGCTTTGAAATTTAGAAAGGTTGTATCACTTGTATGCTCGCATGACCATTAGTTTCTAACTTTCTACTTACAAAAACTGCAAAAATATGAAGCAACTCAAGCAAGTGATCAAACACAAAATAAAAGAGAAAACTGCAACACTTATCAAAAGCTATGTAGCACGGAAACTCTCGGGGAAGAGTATGTTTCCCGTTTTGGAAACTTTCGGAAACTCTTTGGAAACTCTCCAAATAAGCATTTTTTGAGCAAAAGTTGACGTTTCCCGTTTCCCGTTTCCTCATGATTTTCGCGTTTCCGTGCAACATAGATCAAAAGTAATAAAATCCATTAAAAATAGTAAACTTACATATAAGATCATTTGAAATTGATGAACTTTGAGCCTTGGTAGCCTCCAACATAAGTGACACCGCTTCAGCTGCATTACAAGCAATTCTAAACTGCGCATCAAGATCCCCAATTGCTTCTTCCATAGTTGTTGGTCCTTTTTTGAGATATACGGTAAAACCTGGAATGTGCTTCTTTGCTTCACAATCAGCCAGTGTGGTCTGTTTGCAATTGGGTTGACCGTCATTCTGGGTACTTGACACTGATTTATTATTATTCTCATTGGGTTGGAAATCTTGGGCTATGTCGTGGGAATCAATTTTAATACACTCACTGTCATTATCCACATCTTCGACCAAAACTTCTTTATCGCAGCTTTTAAGGACTTCAGCCTTTTGTTTTGGATTTTCCAGACAGCGAATATGATCTTCTACACCAGAGATGCCTTCTTCCTTTCGAACATTGCTTAACCCATTATCTCCACCCAAAATGGTCTGGTCAAGACTACTTGTCACGGAATAACCATAGTAATCAAGTGAAGAAAATGGATCCCAGAACGAATCCCACTGGGTACTGTGGGGTAAACACAAGGAGAAATTGGGCCTGTTGTTGGGAGAGGAATGACAAAATGAAGAACTAATCGGCACAGATTGCATAGCAAAGAAGCTATCCATCCCATTCTGATGGACAGGGAAATAAGCCTTAAGTCTGAGCGTTTCAGGTGATTGAGGTTTCTCCTCCACGGTGACAGATGGACTCCCACTGGACTTGCAGTAATTAACTTTCAAAGCGGAACTTTTTCCAGACTGCAATGCTTTCAAGTTGAAGGATTTAGATGATATGGAGATGAAGCCCGAGTTTAATTTGTTCACTGGTGTAAAAGTTGGGGTTGTGAATGCATCAACCAAGAACTTATCACATCCTTCACCATCAACATAATCTCGAAGGGCAGAAGAGACTCTCAACATAGACTCAATATAAGCAATGTGACCAGAAGCAAACCGTGATCTATATTCCACTGCTTGTTCAATGAACATCTTCCTATTTTTACAAAGCTGGACGGCTTCTTGACTATCCACCTTGGATGTAGTACATCCCATTTTTTTACTGTTTTTTCTACCTCTCCCACTCTTCACAACCTAGAAATTGTGGGGGCTCAAATAAGTTCCATAAACTCACCAAATTCGTAACTGCTTGAGAAGAAAAGAATTCCAGAAATTCAAGTTCCCAAAGTAAATCATTCAACACCATACACTTAAAAAAATTAGAACAGGCGCTTTTTGCTTGTTATTGGAGTTTGGTTCCCTTAAATCTCCAAAATTTCCAGAGTTTAAACTATAAGAGAAAACTCAAGGTAATATTCCGCGTCTAATTAAACTCTATTAACCATCGTTTTAAAGAACAGAACAGGCACTCTTTCCTTGTTAATGGAGTTTGGTTCGCTTAAATCTCCAATATTTCCAGTGTTTAAAGTTTAAACTATACGAGAAGATTCAAGGTAATATCCCGCATCAAATTAAATTCAATTAACCATCGTATTAAAGATGAAAGCTTGAAGTAAGATTGAGGAAAGAAAATACTTACAAAGCTTCCAAAGATGGAACTCTTATCAATAAAAAGTCCTGCCACCAAAACGAAGAAAGCAACTGGCATTCACAAATCGAAATGGATATATAATCGGCATGAATAAAGCATTCGTAAGTAATACAGGTATTATATACAAAAAGAAACAGCAAGTTATCTTGTGAGCATACAAACAAGCATTTGGCAGCTAAACCCGGAAATACTTTGTGTTTCTGATAATTGAAAGCAATCGGTATTTACTAAGAACTATAAATCTACATAAAAATCAATAAGAAGAAGAAAGGTGCATAATTTCAACAACCCAAATCATACGGAGAAATGGGTATGTTAATTTCATCAAACAAAACCATACAGAAGACAGTGGTGCTGGAAATGAAACACTACTGATTCGTAAGGAATAAGAAAAGAGCAAGAAGTGGGTACTTTGCTTATTGGTGTTGAAAATGCGAAACTCCCAAGTGAAGGAAGAAGAGTCAGCTACTTTGATTCACAGGGGGAGAGAAGTGCAACGGTCAGAACAAATTTAAAGCGTGAGGGGAGTGAAGGAGAGAATTAAAGAGGTGAGTAGGTGACCCTTCCTATTGTTTACTTACAACAGACTATGGCCCTTCGTATTTAGTACGGAGTATTTACTGCGGACCTGCGGGGTAAGTTGAGTTTATTCGGTCATTTTGTACTCGAAAGTCGAAATTGAATGAATTGGACTTGGGTAGACAATTGTTTAGACATTTTTACAGGCTCGTGTTTGTGTAGGCGTTTTTTTGTCGCACACGAGTGTGTAAGAGTGTGTACACAAAGTGTGTATCTTTACATTTTTTTCAAATTGAATATTGAGATTTCACACTAGTTCTGTTTTGTGACTTTTGTCTTTGAGTACTAGGAATTGAGATTTGATTCCATTTGTTGTGGTTTGGTTTCACTTATTTGGAGATTTAAGATACTCCAATGTTATTTGGAGTGGAAAAACCATAGTAGTAACTGAAAAACAAAAACAAAAAATGAATTACACATTTGAAACTTATGAAATTCTAGCTGAATTGACTAAATTGATTGATTATGTTGATTTATATAAAATTTATATCTAAATACTAGCAGCGTACGCACTACGTGCGGCTGTTGCCATATATAAGTAATATAATTGAACAATTCCAGTTTGATGTAATATAGTTAAATTATGTTCATAAAAGATTAAAATTAATAACCATGAAAGAAGGTAAAATAGAACTCTCAGTTTTATGAGAATATTATACTGGTTAATAAGTTTATAATTGAACATTAGATGTTTGTGTGAATTTTCATATATCTATAAAAAGTAAATCAAACATTGAATAATATACTTTATAACATTATATACTTTAAAACAGCAAGCATGATTGAAGTATCATTCACTCGAAAAACAAAGGAAAAACAAATTTATTTAAAAAAATTAAGTGATTCTTTAAAACTGGCAATAAATGATGTTTGGTGGTTTCAGACATGCGTATAACAATAGTTTATTTTAATAACTTATATGGAAAAAAAATAGTGTCTAGTGAGAGGTCTCGAGTTCGAAACCCGATAGGCACATAAGGGTTTGAAACTCAATAGAGTGAGTTTCAGCCTGATTACTCCACCCCCCTCCCCCCAAAACCCCCCTGGAGTAAAAAAATGAAAAGAAAATTAGTGCAGAGTTTTCCTCCGTGATCCTTTACAAGGTACTTAGGCTCAAGTCTCAACAGTCACTTTACTTGTGAAAAAACTTCACAATGTCATTAGAAGCTAAACCCAAGACTGTAATGTAGTGTTCTTGTTCTGCTTATATATTACATTGATGGAAAACATACGTGTATAATATAGTAGGAATAAAGGAATTTGCTGAAAAACTATCGATCTATTAATACGATAATTTCAAATAGTCTTAATTGCATCATAAGTGCAGTGTTATTAGATAATTAAAGGGAAGTAATGTTAGTATAAACCAAATGTATTCACTGCTATAGTAAAGAGAACCAATTTAGAAGTAAAAGAGGTTTAAAAGAACTTCAAACATGACAATTGAGATTTGAGATCACCTGAAATTTTGTACCCTAAATCTAACAGGATAAGAATTACATAATTTAGTTTAACTTAATTTTTCGTAATGTGTGTATTTGTTAACGTGTTTCTTGTACCTAATATTTTCTATCCCTTCCTAAGGCTGAGATATTGTGTTTTGTTATAGTTTATGTTGTATTTAGGAATGATTTTTTATCTGAGAGGTTAGTCAACAATTTCATACACTCTTATTTTAAAACATGTTTCAATCCCTTCATCTTATTTTAACATGTTTCATGTGCTAATTAATCTTTAACATTCCCGTAAAGTTCGTCATTAGACGCTGAAAATTGAATTCGATTTATAAGTATCAAAAAGTGCAAAAAGATTTTGGGGTGAATGTAGAGTGGAGGGCCGTATTTGGATGTGAAGTTAGGAAGGCTGGACATAACAGTGAGCGTACGAGTTTCAGACATAATATAGAAGCCTAAGAGCAAACAATCTCTTTTAGCAACCTCCTCAGCAGACTCAGTCTCTAAATCCAACATCTAATGGCCCAAGGTCTTTGATGGCCAATTCTTCTATGATTTGGTGTCTGGAAAAGGGTTTCTGAAATCCGGAGAAACGATTTCACCAACCCCTAAAATAGGGGCTATGTGGTCATGTACAGCTTAAACTAGGATGATCTTCTAGGAAATTCAGTTAGGGGGTGATCAAACAAACGGCAGGCTTGTGTATACTTCAAAACTAATAAATATTAAAATATATTTCCCCCTAGGAGTTGAATATAAAACAATTTTAAAATATTGAATATATTTTCAAAAGAAACAAATAAACTGTTTGTTAACAATTGCATAGAATCAGATTTTAAGTCTCTTTTCAATTGCTCCATTTTCTTTGCGTTTAGAAGTCTTAAACTTATAAGGTATCTAATGAATTCCCTACTAACTTTCGTAAAGTTCGTCATGAGACGTTGAAAATTGAATCCTTTTTATAATATCAGAAAGTGAAAAAAGATTTTGGGGTCAATGTGAAGTTAGGAGGGCTGGACAGCTTAACAGCAAGAGTACAAGATGCAGACGGTATAATGCCAAGAAGCCTAAGAGCAAATGCAATCTCTTTCAGCAGCCTACTCACCACAGTCGGTCTCTAAATCCAACACATGGTGGCACAAGGTCTTTGATGACCATTTCTTCTATGACAAGGTATTTGGAAAAGGGTTTCTCAAATATGACGAAACACTTTTACCAGCCCCAAAAGCAGGGGCTATGTGGGCATATATAGATTGAACCCAGATGGTCTTGCAGGAAATCATTTAGGGATGATCAAGCACGTGTGTATACTTATAGAAAATACAAACGTGCTCAATATCCCAGTGTGTTAGGTGTACTTTTGTTTTGAAAAACTGACTTTCTTATATTTTGATGTGACAAAACAAATTCAAGTAGTAAATTGATGTATGTACATCCTTGTTTAACCCCATACTAAGAAGAACTCAGTATCTTATAAGAATGTTATTTTCAAAAACAATGAATTCAATTTTTATTTATATGTATATAGAAATATTGATAAACTTTTTAGAGAAGTAAAATATTTCGAAACTGGTAAACTTTAAAATGTATTTTCCCCCTAGGAGTTGAATATAAAACTATTTTAAAATAATGAATATATTTTCAAAAGAACAAATGAATTGTTTGTTTAACAATTGCATATAATTATATTTTTAGTCTCTTTTCAATCGATCCATTTTCTTTGCATTTGAAATCTGAAAGTTATAAAGTCTAACGAATTCCCTTCTAAATCTTTTTCCTATTAAATTAAGAGTGAATTAGTTGAGAGTAAAAGAAGTACTGCAATTGCTAAAATCGCCTTGTAAACTCAACTACCATTACTTGAGAGTAAATCTCTATTGCCATTGTTTTTTAGTATTGTCATTGCAATTTGTAAAGTAACAGTGATATACCAAGTTTGTAGGCTCAATATTTTCACTCAAATTAAATCTCTTTCTTCCTTATTGTTGCCAGCGGTTTTGATAGTGTGCCAACATATTCTGTTAGCTACTAAAGCACGATCAATAATGAAGACTTAAAGCGTTTTGTTCCATCTGTAATGCGGTTATGATAGTGTGCTTTAACTTAGTTAAGGTGGTGGTATATTTAATGTGGCTTTTTGACAAACACTTGGCGAGTACAAAATGCATATTGTGTGAGGAGTAATTTTGATGAATGAAGTGTGTGGTGGGAAATCGAATCAGATGAACAACGGAGTTGTGAACGATTGCAGCCAGTAGTAACCAGAACGACAAAAATAATGCGTATGTAAGGATGTACCTTGTGTGTAGAGCAGCAGGAAGGCCAAAGAAGATTGTAGGAGTAGCGAATAAGCGAGGAGAGTGAATGCGCAGCAAGATGAGAATGGGTCGGTTGAGGCCGGAGATCGTTTTTGGCGATCGGATGTGCACTGAAGCAACTGCGTCCACCGCTTCGGAGTAGGGTTAACGGAATGGATATGTAGAGTTTGGCTTTAGAATTTTGATATGGTTAACGGAAAAAGAACTGCTCCTCCTGACTTTGAAAACTTTTCTTTTTTGAAAAAAAAATATATATTTGACACTTTTCTTTATTTAAAATATTCCTAGGAATTCAAAGTTTGAACTAAAAGAATGGAGTAGTGCAGTGGTGACGCGTGCTTATTCCAAATATGAGGTCGCGGGTTTGAAACCCGGCCTTTTCCTTTTATTCCTTTTTTCAGTGTTGGGCTTGAACAATGTATACGAATTTCCAACAAAAACTTAAACTTGGTTCATTTAGCTCATTGGTTGAGTATGTCCTTCTTTGTCGAAATGACTAGAGCTTGAATCTCGTCTCCATCTTTTTTAATTTTTGCTACTTTTCTTCAATTTACTCCTTATTTTCTTTGAAAGAAATTTCACTTTTGTTATCCTCCAACTTGAACTTTTATTTTCTTCACTTCTTCACACTAAATAAGACTGCACTAATACAAATTAACGACAAATAATAAAAATATGTACAAAAGTACAACTTTTTTAACTAAAATTACCAACAAACTAAGTCTAAACAGTGCGTAAAATATAAGCACACCAGTCGCCCAGTTTTTTTTCTCTGTTGCTTTTCTTTGCATATCTTTTTTTAATGTTAGATTAAATTAATAAATTCATGTATTTACAAATGTTATTTTCAATTTTATACGATTTAGGATGAAAAGATATTTTGATGTTGTACCCAAATTTAAAGAAACCTAGAGTACAGGGAGTAGTTCAAGTGTTAATTCAAATCATTCACCATTAGTAAATGAAGAATTAGATCAATTTTTTATTAGTTTTATACTTGTATTATTATCGTGCCTAGTGGGAGGTCTCGAGTTCGAAACCCGCTAGGCGCATAAGGGTTTGAAATTCAATGAAGTGAGTTTCAGCCCTGATTATTCCAGTCCCCCAGCCCCCCAGCCCCCCCCCCCCCCCCAGACCTCCTGAAGTAAAAAAAAAAGATATAAAGGGTAGGGACCCCGTGGCTCCGACTTTCTGAGTCCGCCACTGGGGTGGGAGAGAGTATGTTAAAGCCAGAT